TCCCAGCACTGCCTGTAGCGAGACACTCCCAGATTCTGTATGAGTGAGGTATTTACACCATGATTTACTTGGCTTGTTTTTGTTCTCACCTAGAGCTTCTAGGTTTTCACAGTCTCAAGCATGATTCAGTCAGGCATTTCACATTCAGGCTTAAATGCTTTATTAAAAAGGGAAAAAATTAAGACCTAGGGAGCTACATACAGACCAGTTAGTCTAACTTCTGTGCCCAACAAGGTCATGGAGCAGATCCTACTGGAAGCTATGCTAAGGCACATGGAGAATAAGGAGCTGATTGGTGACAGCCAACATAGATTCACTAAGGGTGGAGTGTGTCTGACGAATATGGTGGCCACCTATAACGGGGTTACAGCATTCGTGGATAAGGGAAGAGCAACTGATGTTATGTACCTGGACCTCAGCAAAGCATTTGACGCTGTCCAGCATGACATCCTTGTCTCTAAATTGGAGACAAATGGATTTGAAGGATGGACCAGACAATGGATGAGGAATTGGCTTGATGATGGCACTCAGAGAGTTGTGATCAGTGGCCTGATATCTGAGTGGAGACCAGTGACAAGTGGTGTTACTCAGGGGTCGGTGTTGGGACCAGTGGTATTTAACATCTTTGTCAGTGACATGAACAGTGGGATTTAGTGCACCGTCAGCAAGTTTGCTGATGACACCAAGCTGTGTGGTGCGGTTGACACGCTGGAGGGAAGGGATGCCATCCAGAGGGACCTGGACAGGCTGCAGAGGTGGGCCACTGCCAACCTCATGGAGTTCAACAAGGCCAGGTGCAAGGTCCTGCACCTGGGTTGGGGCAATCCCAAACACAAGTACAGGCTGGGTGGAGAGTGGATTGAGAATAGCCATGAAGAAGGACTTGGGGGTGTTGATCTATAAGAAGTTCCACATGACCTGGCAATGTATGCATACATCCCAGAAAGCCACCCATATCCTAGGCTGCATCAAAAGAAGTGTGACCAGCAGGTTGAGGGAGCTGATTCTCCCCTCTCCTCAGCTCTCTTGAGACCCCACTGTATTGTGTTCAGGTCTGGGACCCCCAGCACAAGAAGGATATGTACATGTTGGAGTAAGTCCACAGGAGGCCTACGAAGATGATCAGAGGGCTGGAACACCTCTCCTGTGGAGAAAAGTTGAGGGACTTGGACTTGTTCAAACTGGAGAAGAGAAGGCTTCAGGGAGACCTTATTGCAGCCTTCCAGTACCTGAAGGGCCCTGTAAGAAAACTATGGGATGGATGGACTTTTTACAAGGGCCTGTAGTGACAGGACAAGGGGTAACAGCTTTAATCTGAAAGCAGTTAGAGTTAGATAGTTAAAGATTAAATTCTTCATGGAGAGGGTGGTGAAGCACTGGAACAGTTTGCCCACATAAGCTGTGGATGCCCCATCCCTGGAAGTGTTCAAGGCCAGGCTGGAAGAGGCTTTGAGCAACCTCAAAACCTCAAAAGTAGTCAGAAGTAATCCACATACACTTCTTTCTCTCCAGAGTGCTTTTCCTGGAAAGTAATTTTACTATAAGACATAATTTCAGTCAACCCTGCCATTTCAAACACCGTGTACCATTGTAAAATATCACTTTAACTATAAAAAGAAAGATTACCTTATGGTTATGTTGTTTTAGAACAGGTTCGCTCTTGAGTCTTATTTGAGTGAGAGCTTTATTTTTCTTCTGAGCCATTGAGGAGTTTTATTTTTTCTATCAAAAGGCTTACAGTTCGTAACAGTTTATTAAAAACATCAGTCCAAAGTGGGAATGAAAAATTCCCATTCCTCAGGAATGAAGAGAAATTATATGAATTAAGAACATCCAAATAACTGACACCCCATATATTTTATCCTAGGACTGGTTTTATTGTTTCAGGATATTTCACATGAAGTAATTCCCATTATATTCATCATTACTAAATCCGTCTAAGATGTGATGCTTTGTATGAATTAAAAAGGCTATCTCTATTAAGATTACATCTGAAGTTTGTTTCAGAGTCTGTTTTCACTTTCTCAGGAAAATAGCAGTGGAGGAGACTCAAGGAAGCAGTGGTGTGAAAACTTACTTTCAAAATTCATAGGCAGAACATTGCAGAAAAATTTATTTTATTTTCTTCCTCTCCTACTTTTTCTTTTTGAGGATAAGATTTTTCATGAGAGCAGTACTGCTGTGAAAAAGACTATATTTCCTTCATTGCTTTCTAGTTTTCTTTTTTTTTTTTTTCCTCCTGGATTTAGTATCTTTTTTGCTTTATACTTTTCTTCAAAAATTTCTTAATCCTCTCCTCCCTCACCCCCATCTCCAACCTAACTGGGGACAGAAAAAAGAAAAGATGAGGAAAAGCATATTGAGGGAATGGGAATGCCACTTTTGCAAAGACAAATATAAAAAGCTTAGGAAATATTTGTTTTCAAAATACCACTGGCTCTACCAATGTTATTTTTTATTATTTTTTATACTAGAAAATAAAATTAATGAATTATTTGGGTACACTTTGGATTTGCATTTTGTATTTGTGTTTCCAAAGATTCTTTTGCCACATGAGGAAATGATGCTACATTCAATTAAATCAAGTTTCTCTCTGCAGGCATCACCACAGTATTGACCATGACAACTTTGAGCACCATTGCAAGAAAGTCATTACCCCGTGTCTCCTATGTCACCGCTATGGATTTGTTTGTGACTGTATGCTTTCTATTTGTCTTTGCTGCTCTGATGGAGTATGCGACTCTCAACTACTACTCAAGCTGCAGGAAACCAAACTGTACCAAGAAGAAAAAGTCGGTAAGATGGGGGCATTTAAACTTCTTTTCTAGTGTGTGCATGGGTCACAGAGCAGAGAATCACTGAGTTACAGCCTGTGATCCCATGATACTCTGCTCCTCCTCCATGTTCCCAGTTTGTGGTGTGATCTGACCTGAAACATGATGGAATAGTTAACCTGCAGTAACAGTAGAAGCAGTTATGTGCCTACTAAGTGAGGTCTGTTCCTAACAGAAGCAGCCCGCTGACCACCAAGCAGCAATGCTGCCTACACATCTTTTGTCTTCCAATTACTATGCTGCTAGTCACAAAGGGCTCCCGCTGAGATAGATTGCATGGCTTGTTAAACAAATAGATGCACATCAACGTATATTCAAATGCATCTGTTATTTCATGGCTTAACAGGTCTAGAAATACTTACGAACCTTACAAATGAGATTGCAATGTCTCCACTGGGAACCAGGACTTGTTTTTAGCCCTGTACACAAAGACACTGGTTCCTGTGTATACAAACAGAGGACGTCACTTGTAAAGCTTTTATAGATTGTTGCATTTTTGGCAAAAAGGACACTTCCAAGAGTAACACCCAGATACACCAAAAAAGAAAAAAACAAAAATTAAAACAATCATGCAAGAAGAATTTCCTGGTGTACTTCATAATTGACTACAAGAGTTAGAGGGGGCAGTATAATGGAGAAAAAAAATCTCAGTTTATACGTAGGGAAGGGGAATTGGGTTGTTCGGTCAAGAAAGTTGAAAAACCTTATGTAGTTGAGTTCAGTAATTGGAGATGCTGGATGACATTTTGTGCTAAACAAGGACATTTGAAATCAGAAATACAGAGCCAAACAGGAAAAACCTGAAGGAAGAAATTGGAGAGAAAGCTAAATTCCAGGAATAATGGGTCATGAGGGAATAAAGGAATGAATGAAGAGCTATAGAAAATGACTGAATGAAGAATGAATGAAGGAAAAGCTGAAACGAATATGGAATTAGAGAAAGCCTGGAAAGCCATAGATTTAGCCAATGAAAACTCCATTATACCTCATAGCTTCTTGCAAAAACACATTGCATACAAAAGGCAAAAGAGTGTTACCAAAAGTATGAGACAATAAAAATGAACTTGCTAATGATCATACTAAAATTACAATCCTATAGAAAGAGTGAATGAAAAAGTCATGAGTGTCTTTGTGAGTGGGATGTATTTCCAGACCTGTGACTGAAGATGAAGGAAAGCATGCAATGTTGGTAAGATTTAACACAAGAACAAATGCTCAATTTCCACACTATTTGCTAAATAGATGAATGTATTGGCTTGAATAAAGATTTAAAGTGGATGGAAACCAGGTGTGTATTCTGCTGAGGTTTCATGCAGTTTTAAAGTGTAAAGAATATTATGCTGAATGTATAGAATACTCAGCATGAAGTGTTTCATGGACAAACACACTTAAATTTTTGGTTTAAGGAATGATATTGAATATTAGATGCTTATGAAGCAAAAAGTATGTTTTCTTCTGAATAGTTCTTTTGTTATCTTTATTTAAGCTACCTGATGTCAGTTTTGGGCATGTGATGGTAAGTAAACTATTTTATTCAGTAAGAGCAATGGAGGCATGAGTGTATGGTTGACATTTACTTGCAGAAATTCCTGAGAAAGCTGTAATGCTATCTCACACTTTACCTGACTTCACTATAAATACTGCTTTGCTTTTTTGTTAAAAGGTCAGTTTGTTTTTGGGTGTGGAAGAGGAACATATCTGCCTCTTTCTATAAGTACTTATCAAATTATTTTTGAGGGAGAAGAGTTGTGTGGAATATTATTTGTTACTGTTACCTCAAAGATTTTGTGTGTCTTTATATAATACTGCAGTTTTTCATTACGTTTTATTAAAAAAGTAACAAACACAATTTATGTTATAGACTTTTATGGAGTTTTAAATGAGCTTCATAAAAAATAACTCTTTTATGCATATATGTAAAATCCTTAGCAAGATTTCAGGTGAATTTTCAAATAATTTAGGCTTAGAAGTTTAACACTGTTAGTTGTACTGTACTTAGAAATGAAGTAAATTGTATTCCCCAAACCTCAACAGAACTATTTATATCCATACAGTGGTAATAAAGTTGAAACTGAGCACAAAATTATGTCTCTTAAGTTGTATGAAATCTGAAACTGGGATACATACTATAATATATATAAATATAAAACATTCAGAGGGCCAGTTAAGCAGTGGGTTGGATGACTGGCTTCCCATCTAACAGATCCAGATAAGAACAGGGACAGAACTAAACCATTGTTTTTGCATTTCTTGGTTTGGATATGCTGAAGTTTATAATTTTTTTTTTTTTAACATGAGTTTTCTGATGTGTCTGAAGAACTCATACAGCATTGGAAGTCTGCTCATTGACAACAAATGATTTAGAGCAAGCATTGCATTTATACACTTACAACTGCTTTCACTCCTTCGATAGACTTTTTTGAAAGATAAGGTTAATAAGGCACATTGAATGGGTAGTGGTGCTTTCCCTTTTTCCAATAAAAACAAAAAGAAAAAAGATAAAAAATTAAAACTACAGGAGGGTTTAACACTCAGTCTAGATCTAGTCAGCCTGGTCTGCTTAGGAAGTATCTGCAGCCTTTTCAAGTTTTTACTCTATCTTTTCTTTTTCACTATAAGATGTTGGGCAGGGCCTTGCTCTATACACAAACAACTTCCATGTTCAAATTGTGGCATAAACTGTATAAAATAAGCAGTGTCTCTGACTCTCAAGATATCATCTTGTCTTTTCTAGCCTTATAATGATGCCACATAAAAGGTGAAATTTATTAATCTGAGTAAATCCATGTTCAGGTAATCCCACCCCTTGTTTTTCCATCTAAAGGACACATTTACACTTTGACTGAAACAATTTTATTAAGTGTGTTTAAGACTGCAGCTGAACTGCCTTGTCTAAGGCACCTGAGAAGTGCCCTGCCTTGCCAGGGCTCTCAGGTGCTACTGGGCTGGCACCCACTGTGTGTGCACCCTTCTCCTCCCAACCCCAGCTCAGCAGGATGCACAGGACACCGTAGGTACTACCCACTTTCATCTGGTAACTAGTACCTTCAAGACCCTTCCTAGCTGACAGAGATTAAAGCGACCGGATTAATCTCTCTGTGTTATCAGGGCATTTATTCTATCTTCCTTCCTGAGCAGATAGCTGATATATCAGAACAACAACAAAAAACCCCAGGCTATTGATAGATAAGAAAGTTTTCATTGCAAAACGAATGCACTTATTTATCTTTACTTACCAAAATCACTGGAAAGATCTAAATTAGCCTTTTTTTTTTTCCCACATAAATTATATAGCCAGGTGCAGAAAATTTGAGTCCCTGAGTAAGAAATTTTCATAAAGGCCTGCAATAAATGAACAAAATGTGACGCAGTGGTATAGTAGAATTCCATATTGTATATGACTAACGTATAAGTTAGTCACAATTTTTTTTTATCCCAAGTTCTACAGTCAAAAAATAATTGCTTGTACAATAATTTTAGACCTTTTCCATGTGGCAGCAAATTGTAAAGCTCTGATACCAGCCACCTGAAAATTTAAAAATGAGAGAGAAGACCATAATGATGTAATTTCTGTCATCTAAACTCAGAGATAAAGTAATTCACAACAAATAGATATGCAGTAATATGCTTCTAAGCTGTAATCTGGTTACAATCCACAGGACAATGCACCTGAGAGATTTTAGCTATTTACTTATAATTAGATGAATTGCATCCTAGAAGTAATTGGATGGATACCATAGGGCAGTCATTCAGATGTAGTTACCTATGTTGGAGATGCTAACGTCCAAGCAGAGTGATGCCACATCAGGTTCTTAGCTCAGGGACCGGCATTCTGAATGAGATGGGTAATACTATTGTGTGCTCAACCAAAGGTTCTGTAGACAGAAAATAAGTCAGTAAAAAAAGGAAAATTTCCACACACATCAGTTATACCACTGATCTGTTTCACACCCAAAGTGAAAGTTTGCACATAAACCCCAACACCTTCAACAGGAAATGTTAGAGTATTTGCATAGTAAGGGTGGAAGCAGGGGCCCTGAGCACCCTCCAGACTGCAAGCGGGCACGGTGCAGAGGTCTGACTGGCTTGTTAGTGCATGCTGAGCATGGTCCGGCAGGCAAAGGCAATGCTCTGTGCCATTGCAGGGAAAGGAAGGGCCCCGAGGTGGAGAAAACTGCACTGAGAGGGCTGGAATCTGCTTTGTCAGGGTGGTGCAGATAGGCAGTGAAGCTGATGGGAACTTTCCTAGTGATGCCAGTGGAGGAGGTGACATTTGCGAGGATGGAACGTGTGGCTTGATGGGAGAGGAGACTATCGTGAGAAAGCACCTTCCATGAGAAGGAAATGATGTGACAGAAAAGCTGACAGAGTGTAAATCGGGGGAACTTTGAAGAAGGAGAGGTCTGTTGGCACAAGTGGTACTGTGAGGAGGTGTGATATCAAAGTGCCCTATTTCTGAGCATGCTTAGTGTGATAAGCACTAAGGGGACATGCCTAGGGATGGCATTTTGAAATCCTGTACTGAAATCATCATTATCTGTTGCGGACCATATTTGGTTTTGTAAACCATGGTAAAGTTAAGAGGCAGTGAATGCAGCTATACTAACTGGAGATCGTTCTGTAACTAAATGGGGAGAGGGGACATCTTCCTTATTTTTTAGAATTCATTCTTAAATGTAGTAGCTGCGCATGCTTAAAGCAACTTGCAAATAATATTCTGACAGGCAAGTGAAATACCAAGTGTGAAAAAATGGTTACTACGAAATTTTTTGAGTTACCCAAGTAGAAAATACACCTAGAATTATTTAACATGCCATTCCACAATCTCTCTGTGGAAATTCATCTGAAAAGGTATCTTTCAAATGAAAGAACGGGGCTTCCCAAAACTAGCATTCCTACACTATTGGCCTTTTAGTCCCAGATCCTGTGATTTTTTTTCCATGATCATTAACTGTGATCTGCAACATCCATGGACGCTTATCAAAATGTTGGTTTCTTTTTGTCCCCTCAGAATTATTCTGTACTTGATATGAGACCACCAACTACAGTCATCACATTGAACAATGCCATGTATTGGCAAGAATTTGAAGATGCGTGCGTCTATGAATGCCTGGATGGGAAAGACTGCCAGAGCTTTTTCTGTTGTTACGAAGAGTGTAAATCAGGCTCATGGAGGAGAGGACGGATTCACATAGACATCCTAGAACTGGACTCTTACTCCAGGGTCTTTTTTCCTACATCCTTCCTGCTATTTAACCTGGTCTACTGGGTTGGATACCTCTATCTTTAAATGTTGCCTGTAGTGGTGAAAACTGCTTCACACTGCGGAGGGATGGCGAAAGTGCAGAAAACGTGAAGGACTTGGTCAGTTTCATCTCAAATTATAAAGGCCACATAAACCTTCACCATCACAGAGCCTGATGAAGAATTTTAATATGTGATTGCCTGAAAAAGAAAAACATGGAAGAATTCTCTCCTTACTGCTATTCATTTTAAGGAAAAGATACGTACAAAATTCAGCTGAATTAGTAGTGTAAGTGATGTTTATGAATAATTATTGTATATTAGAATCTCTACTACTCTCCCTTGACATAGAAGCTATACACAATTCAGGCAAAGGTTAATATGTCACTTTTGTTCTTCATTCCCATACTTTCTTCAAAATACTGCCATATCCCTGGGTCTCAGAGCAACATACACTGGCTCTGGCAAATAAACCAAAGCCAGTGAAACCACCCATTTGTATTTAAACTTGCTTGAGCTATGTCCCATGGGTTTTGGGAAATATTTCATTGGTGATCGGCTTGCTATAGAGAAACCACCAAGAGACAGTGAGAAATGTTTCTGGTGGGATCAAAACATGGAAGTTACTTTCTGCAAAGTTCTGGGATTCATGGAATTAACTATTTACCTACACATGTTGGTCTTCACTTAAGGTGGAAAGGCAGGATTACAAGAAAGCTAATATTTTGATATAAATAAAAGACTTCCCTTTCTCTGAGGCAGCTGTAGGCATAACTTCTACAGTTTTTCAATCTTTCAACTGTCTTTTTTTATGGCTGGTTAAACACAGGATGGTCATTGATTTCTGAAGTACTCTACTTGAAGGAGGACAAGATTCCTGCTTTGTGTCATTGTAGCAGATCATAGTTGATAGGCCATGAGTAAAAATCACTCTATGATACCACTAGGAATATGTGACTTTCTTCAGAACGCAATTTACTGAAAAGAACTCTCATGCATTAGTTTTTCTCTCAAACTTATTTTACAGAAATGAAAACCATGTGTGCCAAAGGATTTTTTTGTTCTTTCCATAAGGGTAAATATTGCAGTCCTTAATGGCCATTGCTCCCTGGGTCACTTTTGACTTGAATGGCGCATTACAGGGACTTGTCACACTTGGATTAAACACGGAATAGTTGCCACATGTAGAAAAATGTTATGATTTTTTTCCCTAAACTGCCAACTGCATTTTACTCTAAAAAGCTATTTTGTATTTTTCAAGCTTTTGACCATTAAATTCTTAAACTACCAATTTTTTCAAAAGTTAATTTTACAGTGTCTGACATAAAAGTTTGTCTTTTACAGACTCTCAGTAATTGTTACTAAGCAAACAAACCAGATTAAAACCTAAATAACAATGTCTTTTCACTACTCTTTGGATGAAAAAGGTTTAAAAATTATTAAAGTTAAAACATACCTAGAAACAAAATTCTACTCTTTGCTCTTATAGAGGACCTGATAGTTTTGGTCTTATTTTGTAAAAAAGTGTGTCTCTTCCATGCAGTATTTGATAAAAAAATGAATAGTATATGTGATTGAAGAGCAGTTGCTTTTCTCCTTTGAATGAAAATCCTGCAAACAAGCAAAAACTAATGCAATGGGAATTCTAAAGGAACAGAAATTCTGTCATGTTCACTGAAACATCACTGCCGATAATTGCTGTTTCTCTGTGCTTCTGGTGAGTTTTTAATTGAAAAAACTTACTAAGACAAAAGTTAACTTTAGTTATTTAAAATAATTTCTTCTGCTTTTCACTTGTCTAAAATATCAGATACAGAGAACTGGGTTTAGGTGGGGCGGGGAATCACTTCTCTAAGGACTGACAAAATTCAAATTAGAAGCACAGAGAAGTTGTGGTGCAGGATCAAAACCTTATTTTTAGCAAAACCTGCCCAATCTGCTATCTTTTAAGCATGATGGCCACCTGATTTCAAAATACATGTTGAAGTTCTTGTTAACTCTTTGTAACACATTACTCTGTCAAACCTATCACTCCGTAAAACTCTGTGTTCTGCTCTTGGAAGTATGGATTTTATTTAAGGATGAGAGTTGTATTTTCAGCAGTGCAAGAAGGTGATTGAATTGAAGTTAATTATCTTGGTCTGTAATTATGAAATAATCTTCCCTAACAGCCACCTTCAGCCATATTTTTCAATAATACTTGAAATATTTCAAGGCCAAATGAAAGAATAGAAATTATTATCCTTTAAGAGCCTGAACCTGCAAACCCTCTGCACAATCAGTTGATTTTTGTGGGATTATTGAGAGAGATGAGGCACAAAGAGGTGCCATCCACCATTAAGTTCTGAGCAGGTAAAGTGAGGTTTATTTAGCAATTGCATACTTGAGTGAATGTCCTTGAAGTAAGTGTGGAAAGGGAACATTCCCATTTTAGATGATGAGCATATTCTTTTCTCACACTTCTGCTTATGGCTACCCATTCTTGCTAAAAGCATGCAATCCTATAAGATCCTTCCTGGGAGGACTGATTCTGCTAAATCAATACATACCGCCTCGGTTTTCTGAGTGTTTTCAGAAACAGAAGTTGGAAGCATATAATTCCACTTTTTTCAACATTTCTAACCAAGAAATAGTCTTGAGCCATTACTGGCTTCCCTTATATACTGACAGCAGAGGACATATTCCACTTTGTAATGTAATCTACTCTGGGATTATGTGTAAGAAATTGATTTCTAGGCAAGGTGAGCAGACACAGGCTGGCAAGATCCAGAATGCATTCCTCTACTTATTCTTAGTGGCTTGGTTTACTCTTCCTGCTTCACTGCTCTGTCCTTTGGCAGCCACTGAAAAAAAACTGTAGAGGTCAAGGAAGATAATCTTTCTAGGTTCTGCATCATTCAAAATGCAATTATTCTGGACATCTAGATAATGTTATTTGCATGCATCCCATGTTGCATATCCTTCTGTAGTAGTAAGAATATCCTCATTAACCTCTAGATATTCTTTTCCTTCTTTCATATATTGAAAAAACAAAACAAACAAATAAAAAAAAAAACGCTGAAGTGCACTCTCCCATTAGAAATGTAAAAGAAATCTTCTAGCATTTTAGAACATTTTCATATCAGATAATTTCATATTCAAGACTTACATTTATTCAACTACTTCGTTTGGTATGTAGTACTTCGTTTTTACCAGTCCAAAGAAAGAAAGTGAACAGAGGAAGACAAAAACAAACGACTAGTGAAATGAATGTATTTGGATATATATGTAAAGTGACAAAATCAAGTATCTTCACATTACATGCCTTCCTTTTTGACAGAAGACTGTGAGGGTTTGTTTAGATAACCAGCTCTTCCCAGGAGTATCATCTTGTTCTCCTCCTTCAAGTAGTTGATGGACAGTGTTTTCCTGCACAGAGGCAAGTGTTTTCAAGGCAACTTAGAATGTATAAAAATATTATTCTTCATAATTCAGTCTTCTCAGTTCTCCTGACCCTTATGCCTAATATGCCGACAGCGCCTTCTTTTACAGACAATCTTCCAAGAATAAGTGTATAAAAACTTGAAGCCAGTTTATGCGGTCTCCATGTCCACCAGGAAGTACCCCGCACACCACACTATCTTAATATAACTTTCTAATCAAGAAGTACAGCTGTAGAGTAAAACACTTCAGGCACTCTTCTAGCCTTTCTTCTCTTTCAGATGCTCATTTTCTGCTTCATCAACCTCAACTGTATATTGCTATATTGTACATATCAATAAAAATGATAAAAATAACAGCAGGAAGAATCAAAAAAGCCAGAACTGTCTTCACAGAGAAAGCGACAAGGAAGAAATTATTTTTTATTGCTGTGTGGTCGTTATCTGTCCGACTCCTCTTATTCAGTTCTCCCCACGACATACCCACAGCTAATTCCAAATCATCCACCTGGCAGCTTGCACATTCAACAGCTGGAACAGCAGTGACACATGAGCCTTTAACTGATAGGAAATTATATTTCTGGAACTGGAGGCATCCTGCCAAATAACTCAGATAGATAGCTATCTCAAACACTTTTGCAGCCCTAATGTGTCTCAGAGTCTAGCACCTCATGTTGCTGCATGAATTATCACAGCTCAACTTAGGTGGATATTTCATGAATGGAAGGATACTTACCTCCTTTTTACACCATATTTCACCAGAATTCTGACTAAAATGAGTAAAAATGACTCTGCCATGCTCATGTTCCAGGCAACTAGGTGCAAGAAAGCTCTGGAAAGACCATGGTTACTGTACTGCTGACTTTGTGGGAAAGTAGACTCAATATCTTAAGACAGATGTCATTAGCCTTACAATCTGGAGGGCTTGTGTTACCTTCTAAGCTGTAAAACAAAGCCCACACTGCAACTTGTAAAGGCTGTCCATAACAGACTGTACTTTTCCCATTGGCTACTCTATCAGGGTTTCCATAAAGCATCAAGAAAAGGCAAGCCATATTCCATAATCCTAGCTGCCAACACAATTAAATATATATATTTTTTCCCAAGATATGTTCTTCTTCTTGCTTACAGTGAAGTCGTCGTGCCTCTTAAATTAGTGCCTTTAGAATTTCTTGATATTGAAGGATATACTATTCCTGTCCTGAGAGTTAGAAAAAGGGACAATGACCTTGCTTGAGTTCTGAGCACTGCAATGTGTGACCAATATTTTAGATGTCTTCAACCTACACATTGAGCACTTGGCTGATTTTTTCCTTATTTTTAAGCAGTCTGTAGGTTTCTTAAATAGCAAAAAAACTGCGGCAGAATTTCAGTAGTTTAGCAGAGTCCTTCCTTCTTCACTCAGCAACTGAATACAAGAGATACAGAACATAAATTCAAGGCTGATGTTTACCTTATCCAGGTCACTTCCCAGAAGACTGTTTAAAACAGGCAGAAAACAAACTATACCCTGGGAATGCATTTCTACAGCAGAAAGGTGAGCTTCTTTTTCCTTTAGAGCATTATTTTTTTCTGAGTTCATTTTAGATCCTCCCTCCCTCCCTCTCTCTCTTCACCTATACGATTG